ATATTAACTTAATTAAGGTTATTTTCATATTGATAAATCGTTTAATACAAATATAAATACTATAAATATAGAATTATATCAAGTTTTGACATACGATATAAAAACATGAAATTTTCCATTTCATTATTAATTGGTGTCATTAGAAGAATCCACTAAACCAACAATCGAAAAAAATACACGCAAACATAATGATCCCGGCGCGGGGAATATGCAACTAGTAATAACGAATACAATACACAGACCTACCACACCAATTCGACCGTTGCTCACAACGTTCCAACAAGACAAAAAAAATCTTTCCTTCTATTAGTACACTTACCGTTGGCTCTCTGCGTCTAAGTGAAAAAAAGGAAACATAAACTGTTAGAAATCACAGCAACTCATTCTTCTCTGTCTGAAAACCAAACCCATTTCTTCAATCTCTCCTCATCTCAATCTCGACAACCAAAAAAATGGCCTCTTTAGCACCCGGAATCCTTCAGAAGCTAATCGACGGTATGAAAACGGGGGTTAAACCGACCCGAGAACACAGAAGCTCTCTCCTACAAGTCACAGACATCGTCCCCATCGATCTCGACGAGAAGAATCTCTTACCAAAACAAGGCTTCTTCATCAAACTCACCGACTCTTCTCACTCCATCTACGTCAGCCTCCCTCCCGACCAAGACGACGTCGTGCTGAGCAACAAGATGCAGCTCGGACAGTTCATCTACGTCGATAGGCTCGTTCCAGGGACCCCTGTTCCGATCGTTCAAGGCGCTAGGCCCATCCCTGGACGCCATCCTCTGCTCGGAACTCCTGAGCAGGGGCCGTTGATGAGGAGCTCTACAAGGCCGAGGAGAGGCTCTTGGGATCTGAACGGTGACGTTTTGGTCTTGAAGCCTGCGTCTTTGGATTTTGATCAGTGTACTCCGGCGAAGCAGAGGGTGATGATGACGAGAGGTGGTGTTAGTAAGAGCTGTGTTGCTGTTCCGTCGAGTTCGAAGTTTCCGAGGAGTAGAAGTGTTTGTGATAGAGAGAGGGTGAAGAGCTCTGTTTCTTCTGCTCTGTTTAGTCCTTTTAGATCCTCTGTATGTGGTGGTGCTATTTTTGTTTCTTGAGTTTCTCTTCTTGGTTTGTGCTTAAAGAGAGAGTTTAATAATGGAGTTTTTTTTTTTTTTTTTTTGGCAAGGCTAAGNGTTTCTTGAGTTTCTCTTCTTGGTTTGTGCTTAAAGAGAGAGTTTAATAATGGAGTTTTTTTTTTTTTTTTTTTGGCAAGGCTAAGAAAAGCAACTCACCTCCTCCTCCGAGTGTACGCACTAGACGAGCAACCGCAGAAGATGAAAGAGATGCTCCAAAGTCTACTTCCAAATTGGCTTCTCCAAAGTATAGTAAGTTGGAAAAACAAGAGAAGATTTCGAGTCTAACAGGAAGACTCAGCACACTGAGCAAGGTGAGTTAATTTCCCCTTTGCATAAATCTTGATTCAATGGTTACAGTTTAAGAGTGTGACAAACTCTATGTGGTCGTATATTACCTGTATTTAAGTATGTTTTGGTGATATCATGCGCACAGGAAGCTATGCAGCAGCGCGAGACGGCTCAGAAGATAGCTCTTCAGGCATTGAGAGAAGCTACAGTTACGGAAACAGTTGTTCGTCATCTCAAGTATACAACTGATTCTCCTTATATTGTTTTGATTCTATGGTTCTATTGCTTTTTGAGTTTGAAAATGTGATAGAATTCTTGTGGAAATACAGAACATTAGCCAACCTGAACAAATCAGCAAAAGCTGATTGTCCAGCTGGATGCTTTGAGAAGTTCTTGGAGTTTCACAAGCAGATAACTGAAACCATGAGTGAGATAGCATCCATTGAAGCAGCTTATGAGAACAGATCTGAGGATGGATCAAGTGCAATACTTAACGAAATCCATCACAACTCTATTGATCAGGAGAAAACTGCATCAAAGAGAAGAACCACTGCTCTGAAGCAGCAGCAGAGCCATAAGAAATTGAGATCAAACGATGAGAACAAGAACCCATCAGCATCTCCTCCTCCTTCCGGGTTAGGAAACACAGTTAAGCTGGCTAAAGAGATGGAGAAAGAAGCTTCAAATTGGTTCATGGAGTTTATAGAGAAGGCTATAGAGAAAGGGATGAAGAAATGTAAAGGAACAGGTGATGCAGATGTTAAGAAGGTTCCACAGTCTCTGATCCTACAAGTTGTAAACTGGGTGGAAGCAGAACAGTCTGCTGTTAACACTAGACGACCGGTCCATCCAAAAGCTTCACAAATCACTAGAAAGCTCAGAATCAAAATCAAGAATCCTTGAATCATACATGTGCAGACACTGAGAATTTTTTCATAGTGTTTCCACTGGTTTAGAGAAATTTATTCATGGATTCTATTGATGTTAAGTCACCTTTATAAGAAGTGGCTATTCTAAAATGTCACAGATTAAAGATGGCTTATATCCGTCACAAGAAAAAGAAAAAAAAAAGAAGATAAATATATCAAGAAATGTTTTACAAATCACACATTGTATGGTAGCTTCATGTGTAAGTGTGCTGAAGATAAATTTATCATCATCATAAGTGCTAATCCTTTTATTAACCAACCTCGAGGAAATAAGCATTAGTTTCCAGCTTATTATGGGAGAGAGATACCTGGTTTGGTTTGGTTTGGTTTAGAGCCAAGCCGGGTTCTTGATGGCAGTAACAACAGCCTTGACTTGCAAGTAATTGTTGAGACTGTAGATACCTTTCTCTCTTCCAATGCCACTCATCTTATACCCTCCAAATGGAATTGTCGCATCCAACACATCGAAACAGTTTATCCAAACGCTCCCAACCCTGAGCGCTCTCATCAGCCGATTCGCTGTGTCCAAATTCTGTGTGAACACTCCTGAAGCTAAACCGTACCTGGAGTTGTTAGCCCTAGCAATCACCTCATCCAGATCCCTATGAAACATCAATACCCATTAGTACGGTTTAATCAAAATACTGTATGTCAACAAAATGTTTGGTTTAGTGTTAGATGTTTACTTAAATTTCAGTATGGTTTGAACCGGTCCAAAAATCTCGTCTGTTGCTATGAGCATGTCGTCCTGCCCATGTTCAATACATGACCACATAAGTGGACTTTTCATTAGAATTTTGATGGTGATAGAGTTGTTTAAGAGGTAATATTCTGTTTACTTACTTTGACGTCAGAGAAGACAGTGGGTTGAATGTAGTAACCCTTGGAACCAAGCCGGTCACCTCCAGCTTGTAAGGTAGCTCCATTCTCAACTCCGTGTTTAATGTACTTCAAAATTTTCTTAAATTGCTCTGAGTCCACCTGTGTTTTTTTCCCCCAAAAAAGTTAATGCTCTTCTCTCTTTCACTGAGAGTATGGTTACAGTTTCATTCTGTAATGATTCTCTACCTGGGGACCTTGCTCAATGCCAGACTTGAAGGGATCACCAACAGCGCGTTTGATTGCACGTGCTTTAGCTTTCTCTACAAACTCATCATACACACGTTCATGTACAAATGTACGTGAGCCAGCACAGCAGCATTGTCCCTGAGAGTTAGTTAGCCAGAAGAGGTTATCATGATTCTTAAGACAGATTTACAAAGAAAACCAAGTAGATATGTTTTTTCCTAGTAAAGCTACCTGGTTAAAGAACAAAGCGAAATGAGCGAGCTCAACGGCCTGATCCACATCAGCATCTTCACATACAATGAACGGTGACTTGCCTCCAAGCTCAAGAGTCACTGCCTTGAGGTTACTTTTCGAAGCCAACTGAAGAATAATCTTTCCAACCTCAGTAGAACCGGTGAAAGCAACCTGCAGTATACAGAAGGCAGATCTTTTAAACTAATTAAAGTTTTCTGATCACATGGTCGTGACTTTAGCTTCTCTTTATCACAAAATATGTTAAAGCGAGAAATGATTTGTCACAAAGATGAAGTTTTCATGGCTTGTGTTTTTAAACCTTATCAATGTCCATGTGACTAGCTATGGCTGCACCAGCTGTAGAACCAAATCCAGAAACTATATTGACAACCCCTTCGGGAAGTCCAGCCTGTAAATGAATTTTAATAAAAGGCTATAAGTTGGAGAAAAGCACACACAAAAGTAAAACATAGAGTATAAGATAGTTACTTCGTGAAGTAGTCTTCCAACAAGAAGAGCAGAGAGAGGAGTTTGCTCAGCCGTCTTGAGGACAACGGTGTTACCGCAAGCCAAAGCTGGTCCAAGTTTCCAAGAAAGCATGAGAAGAGGGAAGTTCCATGGGATGATCTGTCCAGCGACTCCAATAGGCTCATGGAGTGTCTGCACATGGTGTGAACCATCTCCTGGAACCGTCAGTCCATGGATCTTGTCTGCCCAACCTGAGAAACTCACCAAGCCAAACAACTCATAATATACAAATCACACCCACAATATACATTTGTCAATGGTTTTCACTCACCAGCATAGTAACGGAACACCCTAGCAAGCATAGGAACTTCAACCTTGGCAGATTGTTCAAAAGGCTTCCCATTGTCCCAAGTCTCAAGAGCAGCAATCTCGTCGTTGTGTTTGTCGACTAAGTCAGCGAAACGAAGTAGTATCTTTGATCTCTCCTGTGTAAATTAACCAAACTAGGAGTCATGATCATGATATCTTACAAACATCAAAAGGAAACTATTTTTGTGTGTGTATACATAAGCTGTCATTCTAGGCCATGGACCCTCATCAAAGGCCTTGCGTGCAGCTAAAACAGCACGGTTCACGTCTTCTACATCACCTTCAGCCACCTGAGCGATCACTTCTCCAGTTCTTGGATCCAAAGTGGGGAAAGTCTTTCCTGTAATTGTCATCATTATTCAATGTAAATGTAACAATCAGGCTTTTGGCTTTAGCAGTGTTCTAGAATACGGTCTAGACACTGCCTAGACAGTATACAACAGTAATCAACTGTACCATTTTCATGTTATACAGTAATTTATGCGAATTTATATAGTTCGGACGCATAGTAGCGCCATGCGGCCCATGCCTAGCACGTTTAAGAACACTGCTTTAGTTTTTTCTTTGAATATTAGGAGGTTCGGGACCAAAGTCCATAATCTCTCTAAGCCCGAAACCACATCATATAATATTAGTTTCGTTCCAACGGTAGCTTGAAGTGGGGATCTCTGACACAATGGTCAGGGTCCTTTCCAGTTGAGTTAGTGAGGTCTGGTAGAACACTGTGCTTTAGATATACAATAATGAACAAAATTTGAAAAAAATATCCGACCTGAGGCTGCATCAACGAACTTTCCGTTGATTAAGAGCTGTGTGTGCTCGACTTTCACGGGTGGAGTGATCGTGTTTTCGATAGAAGCGGCGTGGTTGCTGTATCTGTGCGCTCCTCTGTTCACGTTGGTGTTTTTGCCTGAAGGGAAACAATTATAAACTAGAATCAATTTGATTTGATTCGATATAATTGTGATTCATTTGTGGATAACGAGAGTCGAAGATCATCAAATCTCGCAGATCATCATCGATCATAGATTGGTTTTACAAGAAAAATGGATCGCATCAGAAATGTATTTATATATACCTCGAAGAGGAAACAGAGAAGGCGAGGACATGAATGAGCGAGAGAGCATTGAAGAAAATCTTCTGGACGCCATTGAAATTTGCTTCTTGTCTAAAGTGTCTCTTTGAACGCTCTCTCTTTGTTTCGGTTGGTTAGGCTGCACCAGGGACGAGTGTTATGCTTGCTTTCGTTATTTAACAAACATGGAAATAACGAAATTTAAGAAAATAAATATTTTACCCATTTCCACATGTCAACACAAGAAAAAGAACACAAGTGTCAAATCAGAGCAGATATTTGTTTCCAGCAATTGCATAGAAATATCAATTTTAATTATTGATACTATATTTGGCTATTTGCACGTGGTATTTTTATCATATTAGTAAGAAAAGGTATTTCTTTCTTTTTTTTCAAGAAAAGAAAAAGTATTATTTCCCGATTCTCTTGCAGTTTTTGAAAAGAAGATACTCCTCCCATAAACAGGCATTTGAGTGGTTCACCTATTACACTTTCTTCTTGTCTTTTGACACCAATAAGGCTAGATGGCTGATCAAATGTGATTATGTAAACATATACAGATAAACTATGAGCTATATCATTTTATAAGATAGTTACCCAGCGTTGTGTGTTAGCATTCAAATGAAGTACAAGTAAAGAAACAATTTGGAAATTTCGAACTTACGATATTATTTGTTGTTACATGTTTTAATAATGTAAGTGCTCAACCGTCACTCAATTTGTTGTGTGTTAGCATTCAATTTGTTATTTGTTACTACATGTTTAATGTAAGTGCTAAACACCAATGGAGATTGCGAATGTGAAGAATTCTTCGAGAACTAGCAACTCCGATTATGTTTTGGCAACCGAGAAAATGTGATGAACACCACCTTTGGTGCTTACCATCACCAGATAAGAATAGGGATTGATAATCTGATTAGGTTGACGGAACTATCTGGTGGAATGGATTGGTATAGTGGTGGCTGAGTGAAACTAGGGATATTACATTCATTTTAAATCATTTTATTTCAAATCTTGAATTTTCTTTTCGGATAGTTTAATAAAGGTAAATATTTTTTTTTTTTAAATTGTCACTCAATTTTTAGCTACCTTGATATCAACCTCTTAGTCACTGACACATAATCGATCTTTTTAGTTTATTATTTATAAGAAAATCATTGGGAACCTTTTTTTCTCCTAGCTTTTCTATAAAGAGGTTACTATGTCATGCACTTTTTCCATAAGACTTTTTTTTTAATATCGTTTTCGTATAAGATTCGGCCCAACTAGGACCATATTTGGTACAACATCCAATTCGAATGCTTAGTTTGAACTAGGAACAAACGTATGAAACTGAAACAGCATTATTAATGGTTCAATACTTGTATGTTTGATTCAGTGTGGTTCTCTAACTATAGGCCTCCATGTTAACATAAGTCTCTACAAAAAGTATTGACTCTTACTTCTTTCCAGAAAAAAATGTATTTGCTAGTTGCAAAGTTATAAACATCCAAACCAAATGGGCTCTGTCGCATGATACTTGTGTTTTGCGAAAGTTGGGTTCTAAACTGAACCTACTTCTCATATAATGGACCAACCCCTACAAATCCCGTTATCAATCACTTACGACGGTTGTAAAGTATAAACCGTGTTGTGGAAAATTACCACCAAAAAAAACACATTACAAAACGAAATCATATGTAAATTCGCATAATTTAAGTTGTGTGTTTTATCACAACTTCACAAGCAAATTATCAAACTATCAGCACAAACACTTACAAATTGTTTTATATGAACAGCGAATCGATCTTCCCTTATTTGCTAACCTTTTGTACTGGTGTGGGTTGGTGGGAGCTTCGAACCTACCACACGGTTGCACGTGAGAAAGCGCGTGGCGTGGACGTGATGAAAGACGAGTGAGTGTGATAGATTGGAATAAAAAACAGACATAAAGCCAAAAGTAGAAGGGGGATGGATATATTCGAGGCGCAAAAGCAGTGTTCCCCCGTCGTATTATCATCACATAATAATTCTCATCGTTCTTTGAGAAATTATTAGCAAATCAAAATAATTAAATATAATATAATATAATAATAAATGAAATTGATATTTTCCGTCAAACAGCGAATCTCCACTGCTTATATCTTCCGCTTCACTACGCATCAAAACAACTCTGCAAAAACCCTAATCCCTCTCTCTCTCGCGTAGCCTCTTCTCTTATTCGCCGAGCAGAGCAGTAGCCATGGATGCCAAAGAAGCCTCCGCCACCGATTTGAAGCGACCGAGAGAAGAGGATGACAACACCGCCGCTTCCATGGAGACGGAGAACGGAGATCAGATAAAGGAGCCTGCTTGTTTCTCCTCTGTGATTCCTGGATGGTTCTCTGAGATGAGTCCCATGTGGCCAGGTTGATTCTTCCTTCTTGTTTAATCTTTAAAAAAAGGAGCTCCTTCTTTTAGATTAAAAGGTGAGATTTTTAATGGATGCAGGAGAGGCACACTCTTTGAAGGTTGAGAAGGTTTTGTTTCAAGGGAAATCAGATTACCAGGATGTGGTTGTTTTCCAGGTTACTCAACACAACACCCAAAAAAAAAAGACAAATACTTTTTCTTTTATTACCACTTGTGAGCTTATCCTTGTGTTTGGTTTTTTTATTTTAGTCTGCGACATATGGTAAAGTTTTGGTTTTGGATGGAGTCATCCAACTCACGGAGAGAGATGAATGCGCTTATCAGGAGATGATTACTCATCTTCCTTTGTGCTCTATCCCTAACCCAAAGAAGGTTAATTACTCTGAGACTATCGCTTTATTTACATCTCTTGGGAGTTTAAAGTTAAGTAGTATTTAGGATAGCTAAAAAAACTATTGTTTTTGAATGTAATGAAGGGTGATGACGCTCACATTTTTTTTCTTCTCCGGTAGTGTAGGATGACTAAATCATTACTTGTGGAGAAATAGAGTGAACCAGAATTCATTTTAATCAGATATTCAGATATGAGTTTTTTTATAAAAAAGAAAATAGACATGAATGATTACACTTACAGAGTGGTGATAGGAATGCCCACTAGAGAAAAGGTAGATGATTAACATTTTTAGCTTTTTTTTTTTCGCTGTACACATTGATTGCCTCTTGAGGAAAAAGGTACATTGTCACACGTTCTCTTCTGGCAAAGTTAGATAAATCCAGTTACTTTATTGGGTAATAAGAAGGAAAGTGTTTTTACTGGCTTGAATGATTATCATCATCTAGCTTGTTATTTGATATTGCTTGACAAAAGGTGGGTAATTTAACTAGTTCAAGTTATGGTTTAGTGGAGCGGATACAAATGCTGTTTTTGCTTTTAGCTAGAGTGTATCTGATCAGTGCCATTCTTGTTCTTTCCATAGGTGTTGGTCATTGGAGGAGGAGATGGAGGTGTCCTGCGGGAAGTTGCACGCCATCCTTCTGTTGAGCATATTGACATGTGTGAAATTGATAAAATGGTGGTCGACGTGAGTACTAGTCACATACTTTTCTCCATCTCTGTTTCAATGAATGCTTTGTTATGAGAGTAAATGAACTTTGAGATGCGTATATATTAGTTTAATGTTTTCCCACTTTCCTTGAATCTTCAGGTGTCTAAGCAGTTTTTCCCTAATGTAGCAATTGGATTCGAGGATCCTCGCGTTAACCTCGTCATTGGCGATGGTACAAACCGCTCCTCTTATCTCTCTATAATTGTCCTTTATAGAACTAATGGTTAGAGGGTTGTAATTGTCAGGTGTTGCTTTCTTGAAGAATGCTGCTGAAGGATCATATGATGCAGTTATTGTTGACTCATCAGACCCCATTGGTATCATCAAATTTTATTCATTCAACAATCAGATTAGGCCCTTGATGTTATGTTGAGAAGCAGCATTTGATTTTGACATTGCTTGCTGCTGATGTGTGTGTATCAGGTCCTGCAAAGGAGCTGTTTGAGAAACCCTTCTTCCAATCTGTGGCTAGAGCTCTTCGACCTGGTGGAGTTGTGTGTACTCAGGCTGAAAGCTTGTGGCTTCACATGGACATCATTGAAGACATTGTTGCCAATTGCCGTGAGATCTTCAAGGGATCGGTGAACTACGCGTGGACTAGTGTTCCAACATACCCGAGGCATGTTTCATGACCTTTTTTAACATTCAGTCTCAATTCTTGTTTTTTTTTTTTGTGATTATAACTTAAGCTGAATCTGTATCAATTCATGGTTGTTTACTGCAGTGGGGTTATCGGATTCATGCTCTGTTCAACTGAAGGGCCTGAGGTTGACTTCAAGAACCCTGTGAACCCAATTGATGACAGCTCCAGCAAATCAAATGGACCCTTAAAGTTTTACAACGCTGAGGTGAATAATAAAACAAAAAACTCTCAGTATACCATTTCATGCGTCTTTGACATTCAAAACTTTGACTAATATGTTCTCTTTTCTTGGGGGTTTCAGATTCATTCAGCTGCGTTCTGCTTACCTTCTTTCGCCAAGAAGGTAATAGAATCAAAAGCCAATTGAAAAGGGAAAGAAGTCATCTGGGGGAGTGATGCATTTATCATAATAAAACCTTTTTTTACAGTTTTTAGAATGTCCTGGTTTGTTTCTTCAAGCATGTTGTTTCTGTGAACACTACTGCAAGCAATAACGACTTCTTTTTTGAGCATAATAACTTTACAAAACAAATATTAGCAAGGCCTAACAACAAGTTTCTTTGCTTTGGTATAGAAGCTGTCAAATTTAATAAGCTTTCTGCCTTTTACCACTTATATGAAGACTCGAACCTTGGTTTAGCTTGTTCTGCATCAGCCTTCTTCCTAAAACACCTAACAAGCCAAAAATCAGCCATGGGAATCATATCCTTTTCTGTTATGTCCTCAAACAGTGGTTTGGAGAATCAGTTCATTCTCCTACAAGAACCTAAAACTGAGCTGCTGTTTTAATAGGAGATGAATTGGGAAGTGAAAGAGTTGAGTTTTAGATGCCGAAAAATATAGAGTTGAAGTGCAGCATTTGCATATCAAAAATCCAAAAAAACTCAAATATCTTTCAAAATAAATATTAAAACAATAAAAATAAACTAGCTTATATTATCTTTGTCCTTCAGTGACTTCTTGACCTCGTCTATAAGTCACTGTATGTGATTTTTAAATGGTCACTAGGGTTTATCACAGTAATAAGATTCAAGTCTATTAAATGAAAAACTTCTGATTTGGTCCTCAAGGTTCAAAGTTTTCTTAGGAATTTGATTGTAAGTTACTTTGAACATCAACAATAGATCAGAGAACAATAACTTAAGATGTAATGTAGCAAACACCAAAGTAAATACATATTGTCAGATACAGTAAAGAAAAACGTGTCACACAAGCAATTTGTAGCAGATACATTGTTAAAGATCCTTACTGTTGTTTTGATCCTAAACAATCATCTCGTATGTAATAATAGCCTTAGCTTTTGATCCTCATCATCCTTCTTCTCCGAAACCCTTGTTCTACAAGCATGGTAACTTACAACGCAAGCCACCCATTTGACCACATTCCCAACACAAATCAAAGCCACATAGAGACCAGTGAACAAAGCTCCATATCCATTCGAACTCTCACTGCATTTGTAGTATAAACATGGCATCCTCATCACAATAGCAAAGACCCAAAACATCAACATCATCCAGAGGTCACGTTTCTCATGTCCTCTTCCATACCAATATGAAAGATACAGAGCATTGGTTCCATAGATGCCTTTACCATCTTCTTCTTCTTCTAAGACTGAAACAACAAAACCTATGTTCCACCCCGCGCTCCACTTGATGAACTTTGCAGTCAGAACTAGGAAGATACTACCGTGAATCAGAGTCACCACCACGTAGAACAGGAGTTCTGCTTGGTAGTACTGGAAGCTTATCAAAGTGGCAATGTAAAAGTAGTTGACTGAGTCAAAGAAGAAACCGAAGAAAACTGGTGTTGACAAGAGGAGGACACAGAGAGATGTGATCAGACAACCTACTAATCTGATCTTACATATCCTGGCAGATCTCTGGACCAAATAAAGCATGTCCAAGGGTTTTCCTTCGGACGAGTAAACAATGGAAGATGCTGCAACGATCATGGTGGTAGTAAAGAGATCAAAAAGGGTGTAAGGGAAAAAGTATAGTAGAGATGTCTGAATCAGCCATGGAATCAGATCATTCTCCGGATAATTGTTATAATCTGGTATTCTGAGGTAACCGCCAAAATTGAGGTTATGGTAAGGGAACTGGTAAGCGAGGGAGATGGTGGTTTGAAGGGAGAGTTCGAAAAAGATCAAGAAACAAAACAGTGGGAGAGAGCATAGAAAGAGGAAGAGAGCGAGCTTGTTGTTACTCAAGATTAGGATTGAAGCTCGTTTTTGTAGTTCCATGACACTCTTCAACTCCATCGATTTGTGATTTCCTTTCTCAGTATAAGAGGCAATCACAAATCTGCTGTTTTTAAACTGCAACATAACATGTAAGTGCCAACTAGTTTTTCCATTACATTAATGGTCGTTGTCCCTCATCGAGGTTGACTTCTTAACTTCATCTACAAGTCACTGTTTAAAATGTTCAAATAGTAGTGGGGATCAAGTAATGGATAAAGCTTCAAGCCTATTGTAAGTATGGACGACTACTGAGTCAAATTGAATGCTTTTTTTTTAACACAGTCAAATTAAATGATTAAACTATCATTTTGTTGTTAAATTAGATGTGAGTGAGAAAACTCTTGAATATCCCCTAGATATTATTTGATAAGTGAATTTTTGAAAAATAACATGGTTTAGTGAAAATGATGACATTTCTTACCTCTTATTATGCATGTAAATTTTCATTTATGAAATTTACATTTTTATTAAGATGTTTGAAATATAACCATAATTCATATGTATCACCATAAATGAAAATTTTAAACAAATAACATTAGAATTGAAAAATAAAAAAATGTAAATATTTATATTTTCAAAATTAATTGTGAATATATTTGTTAACTAAGTGGTTAAATTATGCTTTAATTCATTAATTGGTATAAAACTAATTAAATTACCAAATTTGTAAATTTATTTGTATATGATCACCATATATATGTTTGTCGAAGATTTTTAGTCGACTCATTGATAAATTACTTTATATCACCTAATGTAAATATAATTTATATTTTATTAAGTTAATTAATAACATTTAATGTATTATTATCTTAATATACTATGTGTGCTGGGTATGTTAACATGATTGTAAAACTATGTTTGAGGAAGAAGGCATGATGCATAACAAACTAAACCTTCGGTTACTTAACAGAGTTTAGCTGAGATCAATTCGAAGGTTGCTAGTCTTTCTATAAATGGCAAAGGGGAGAAAGGTTTGCCAGCTTAAATGTCAAATAAATAAACTTCTAGGCCTTGCTAATATGTGATGTGTAAATGATATTGTGCTAAAAGAAGACGTTATTGCTTGCAGTAGTGTCACAGAAACATGCTTGAAACAAACCAAGACATTCTAAACATTGTGAAAAGGTTTTATTTTGATAAAGGCAACGATCCTCCAGATGAATTCTTTCCCTTTCCAATTAGCTTTTGACTCTATAACCTTTAAGCACATTCCCAACACAAATCAAAAATTCAAAATTACATAGAGAGCAGTGTACACATCACTCCCTTCCCATTCGACTAAATCAATGGTCGTCGTCTTTCATTGTCATTGACTTCCTGACTTCGTCCAACAAGTCACTGTATGTAATGTTTGAATGGTCGTTAGGTTTTATCACTATAATAAGCTTAAAGTTTCTTAGATGAAAGACTTCTGATTTGGTCCTCATCGTACAGATTTATCTTAGATTATCCTTGATTTCAGGACTATTAAATTACTTAGCCAAACTAGGAACATTAACAATAAATTAAGATGGAATGTTGCAAACTCCAATGTAAATACATTTCTTAATGCCAAATAGAGTAAAGAAAAACGTGTGACAAAAGCAAAAGTAAAAGAAATCTCTATGTAGGAAAAGCCTTAGATTTTGATCCAATTTCAACATCATCCTTCTTCTCCAAAACCCTAGCTCTACAATCATAGTAGCTTACAACACAAGCCACCCATTTAACCACATTCCCAACACAAATCAAACCCACATAGATACTAGTGTACAAAACTCCATTTTCACTTGACCTCTCACTGCATCTGAAGTATAAACAAGGCATCCTCGTCGCAATAGCAAAGACCAAGAACATCAACATCATCCAAAGATCACGTTTCTCATGCCCTCTTCCATACCAATATGAAAGAGACAGAGCACTTGTTCCATAGATGCCTTTACTATCCTCTTCTTGTTCTTCTTCTAAGACTGAAACAACCAAACCCATGTTCCATCCCGCGCTCCACTTTCCGAACTTGACAGCTAGAACTATGAAGATAGTACCGTGAATCAGAACCACCACCGCGTGGAACAGCACTCCTGAGTGGTAGTGGAAGTTTTGGAAATCACGTGAGAGAGAAACAACGAATAAGTAGTTGACGGAATCTGAGAAGAAACCGAAGAACACTGAGGTTGACAAGAGGAGGACATAGAGAGATGTGATCAGTATAGCAACAATTGAGACTGAATTGATTCTTATTGATATATGTACAAGGTATTTATACAGGATACATGTAGGGTATTTAGTACTTTATACTAATTACAAGAAGGTCCTCTATGTATATACTTATTCTCTAACACGCCCCCTCAAGATGGTGGGACTGTTGTCACACCAATCTTGCTACATAAGCTCTGGAACGACGTTCTTGGAAGGGGTTTAGTAAGACCATCCGCCAATTGATCGTGTGTAGACACATGAGTGACCCTAAGCATGCCATTCTGTATCTGTCCACGGACGAAATGATAGTCAATAGCAATGTGTTTCATTCTGGAATGGAACACTGGGTTGGCACACAGGTATGTAGCCCCAACATTATCGCAGTAAACCGTGGGTGCAGACGGAATCGAGACTGCAAGTTCCGTTAGAAGAGAACATATCCATCGCAACTCTGCAGCCGTATTCGCTACTGCTCTATATTCGGCCTCAGTGGATGAGCGAGCTACACCTTGTTGTTTCCGTGAGGTCCAAGAGATAGGTTGACCCCCCAAGTAGATGATGTAGCCATTAGTGGAAACATAGTCATCTGAGTCTCCTGCCCAGTCGCGGTCCGAGAATGCATGTAGATGGGGGTGAAGTTGCTTACGGAGGAAGATCCCATGATTCAATGTGCCGGAGAGATAGCGTAGAACCCTCTTCACCGCTTGCAAGTGATCGGTGGTTGGCTTGTGCATGAATTGAGATAGTCGATTCACGGCGTATGAGATGTCTGGTCTAGTGAGAGCAAGGTATTGCAAGCTGCCTACTATTTTTCGGTATTCATGTGGCTCAATGAGAGGCGTTCCAGACCGAATAGAGAGCTTAGGAGATGATGCCATTGGAGTAGAAACGGGTTTAGCGTGAAGCATGTCCGTCTTGGTCAGAAGATCGGTGATATACTTGCGCTGTTTGAGATGTAAGCCATGCTTGTTGCGTATTGCTTCGACTCCAAGAAAGTAACTTAAGTCTCCCATGTCTTTGATTGAAAATTTTGAAGCCAGGTTCTGAATCACACGTTGAATAAGAGATGATGAGGTTCCTGGCACAAGAATATCATCTACGTATACTAGCAAGTAGACATAGTGTTGTCCTTGTCGGTATATGAAGAGAGATGTATCTGCAAGAGAATTTCGGAAGCCAGAGGAGATGAGATAACGATGAAATTCTGAGTACCAAGCCCGGGGAGCTTGTTTGAGTCCATAAATCGCTTTCCGAAGCTTGCAAACATGCGTCGGCCGGTCTGAGTCTGTGAAACAAGGGGGCTGAGACATGAAGACTTCTTCATTCAGATGACCTTGCAAAAAGGCAGTATTAACATCTATCTGACGAACATGCCAGTCTTTATTCACCGCCAAGCCAAGAACTAGTCGAATAGTAGTGGACTTGATGACAGGGCTGTACGTTTCTGTGAAGTCAATTCCCGGTTGTTGATTGTAACCCTTTGCTACAAGACGCGCTTTGTAGCGATCAATATCTCCATTAGGGTGGTATTTGATGGTGAAGACCCATCGACAACCGACAACGTTCTTGTTTTCTGTCACAGCTTGCAGATCCCAAGTATGATTCTCAAGTTGTGAGTTGAGTTCAGCAAGCATCGCAGCTCTCAATTTGGGATGTTTTAGTGCTTGTTGCCAAGTAGTCGGTATCCAGTGAGGGTCCGACTGGAGATGGACAGTGAGATTATACTTGGTTGTAGGTTTGACGATGTTGTTCTTTGACCTTGTTGTCATAGAATGGCGAGGTTGCAGAGGAGCACCTGTCGCAGTCGCTGTTGTAGTAGTTTCTGCAACCACCTGAGATTGCGGTTCTGGTGCCGCGTCACTCGTGTCGTCACTTGTGGTGCTTTGAATTTCTGGGTGTTGTTGTTGTTGAGTTGTCACAGGCGACGGAGGTGAAGAACTAGAGTTCGGAGGCGCAGTGTTCGCAGCTGTCGACGGTGACTGTATGAGCGACGGGGGAAGGTTAATGGTTGTATGAGGAGGAGTGAAGGGAGACTGGTTTTGGGTTTCAGGTATTGGTGAGGTTTTTGGTTTGGTAAGAAGCTGGTATGGGAAGTTGGTTTCGTTGAAGCGTACATGGCGCGAGATATAAACGCGACCAGTAGTTGGATCAAGGCATTGATACGCACTCTGCGTTAGGGAATATCCGATAAAGACACAAGGAGTGGAACGGTGTTCTAGCTTATTCGGAGCATAAGGGCGTAACCAGGGGTAACATAAGCATCCAAAGGTTCGGAGTTTCTGGTAGTTTGGGTTGGTGTTGAACAATTTCTGAAAGGGTGATTGGTTTGATAGTAGGGGAGTGGTGAGACGGTTTATGAGGAACACAGCAGTAGCAAAGGCTTCGGGCCAGAAGGTTAATGGCATTTTGGCGGTTGAAAGAAGAGAGAGACCAGTCTCGACAATGTGTCGATGTTTTCTTTCAGAAAGGCCATTGTGTTCTGGGGTATGAGGAGGTATGGTTAGGTGAGAGATACCTTGGGCAGTAAGGAAGGGTCTTAGGGCGAGGTATTCACCTCCATTGTCGCTGTATAGGGTCTGGATTGTGGTTTGAAAACGTGTTTCCACGAGGGGTTTGAACTGAGTGAAGATAGTTTTGACATCGGATTTGGCTTTAAGAGGGAAGAGCCACGTATAACGTGTATAGTGATCGATAAGAACAAGGTAATATTTTTGGTTTTGAGGAGAAATGATTGGAGATTGCCACACATCAGAGAAAAGATATTGTAAAGGTTTTGTTGAGACAATCGTACTTTGATGAAAAGGGAGTTTATGAGTTTTATTGAGAAGGCAATCATTGCAAGGAAAAGCACTAGAAGTGTTTGAACAAGGTAAAGAAAACTTGGAAACAACAAATTTAAGAGTGGATGAGGATGGGTGCCCAAGCCGATGATGCCACTGGGTTAAGGTTGCTTTCGTATCAGGGTAGGTTGCAAAGGCAGTGGGTTTCAGGGTAGGCATGGGCCACTCATACAGTTCATCCTTCGTGCGGCCTTGAAGCAACTTCGCCCCCGAGCTGAGATCCTTCACCTGAAAATGAGCACGGAAAAATTCAATCGACACCTTGTTAGCATTGCACAATCTATAAACTGAGACAAGATTCTTGCTAACTGTAGGTACACACAATATATCATTAAGCTTAAGAGACTTAAATGATGTAGAGAGAGATGTAGAACCCGTGTGTGTTATCGGTAAGCTCGAGCCATCGGCAATAGAGACCGCTTCACTTCCGTTGTAAGGCTGATGGAGTGAGAGGTTATTGAGATCCGATGTGAGATGGTGGGTTGCCCCGCTGTCGAGGATCCAGGGAGTGACATTGTACGGTGATGCTGTGACGTAGTTAGCTCGCGGCTGCCATGGAAGAGACGCTTGAGATGGTGGCGCCTGAATCGCGTACGGTGGTGTAGTTTGTAGCATTTGAGGGCAGCGACGAGCGCAGTGACCAAACACCGAGCAGAGTTGACAGCGTCCCTGGTAGCCACGACCTTGAGAAGGAGCGTGATTGAATTGTTGTTGCTGCCATGTCTGATTTCCGCGACCTTGATAGCCACCACGGCGTCCACCACTCTGCTTGTTGTTGTGACTTGATTGGCCCCTGTAGTTGGTGAAGTTCGCGGTTACAGGAGCAGAGGAGACCTGAGGCGTAGCAGTTTGAAGCTTGGCTTCATGGTTGATCAACTTCTCGTGAAGTTCTGAGAGAGAAGGTGCAGTATCGCGACTCTCGACTTGATCAATGAGAGTTTTGTAATCATCTGGGAGACCACCAAGAACTCGCTCGATCTGATCCTCATGGTCCATCGGTTTCCCAAGAAGGGCAAGTTGGTCGAATCTCATCGTAAAGCCTTGGAAGTACTCGTTTATGGACTTGGTTCCTTTCGTCCAGTTATCGAGCTGCTGTCGAACCTGTTTGACGTGACCGCGTGTTGGTTTCGCGTAAGTGGAGTTCAAGGTGTTCCAGATCTCGGCCGATGTCGTCGCGGTGGAGAGGATAGGCTGGATTGCAGTGGTGATTGCGCCTAGAAGACCACTGTATATCAGTCGATCTTGACGTTTCCAGAGAGTGAAATCAGGATTAGGAGTGACTCCTGCGTCTGATGTGATTGTCGCCGGTGGTACGACAACCGATCCGTCGATGTGTCCAGCTAAATCATAGCCATCGAGCAAAGCGTGTACTTGACGGCTCCACATGAGAAAGTTTGAAGAGGTGAGCTTTGTCACGTTCGTCATATTGACGTTGAGTAGGGTTTTTGTTGTTGAGACCGTAATGGTTTCATGGGCAAAAGCGTGAGTCTCGTTGTTGGGCATGGTGGCCGAAGAAGAAGAAAAGAAAAATTTTGAAAAGAGAGAGATGGCGGCTTAGCTTAGGGTTAATGCAAGCTCTGATACCATATAACAATTGAGACTGAATTGATTCTTATTGATATACGTACAAGGTATTTATACAGGATACATGTAGGGTATTTAGTACTTTTATACTAATTACAAGAAGGTCCTCTATGTATATACTTATTCTCTAACAATCAGAGAACCTCCTATTATGTTCTGACATATCTTCGCAGATCTACATACCAAATAAAGCATCCCCAAGGGCTTTTCCTCGGACGTGTAAGCAAGGGAAGATGCTGCAACGATCATGGTGGTGGTAAAGAGGTCAAGAAGGGTGTAGGGGAAAAAGTAAAGCAGAGATGTCTGAATCAGCCATGGAATCAGATCATTCTCCGACATATCTGTATGATCTTGAAGAAAGAAGTA